CATAAGCTCTGATCTCATCAAGGGTTAACCTAAAACCCTCATCGGATAATTCTTTATGCCCAGGTATCTTGGGCTTTCCAACCGACTGGCCTAGATCGATAAGCATAGCCTAGTATAAGCAAACATCATTTGCTTAGTATGGTCATCGATGGACCACACTCACACTGAGTTTATGTTTCACTATAATAAAAGTGTTTCAATATACACTCATAGAGCCTTTAAAGGCCACATAAACCCAACATGTTCAACAACCGGAAATTGGTAAAATTGTCTTTTTTAAAAAATTTCATTTTGACATGACGAAAACGGACATATAGGTAGTAACAGAAACTATTCGGTAGTTTTGTAATAATGCAAACTATAACATATATGTTTGTAATTTTCTATTTCGATAAAGATATATGCAATTTTATGCAAATGATTGTTGCTTGTTCACCCGCCTTAAATTATCATCTATTTTACACACTACCTATAAATTCACCCTCTTACAACCAAATGATACTATCTATTTAATTCAAGTAAAACCCCACCTAAAATTAGTTTTAGGACCCGACACAATTGAAAAAACAAACCATAATTGGACCCTCCACACAGTTAGAAATTTAATATATCAAGATTTAATAGATATTGTCTAAGTTTTAGAGGGTGAGATAAGTATTTAGAAACTCAAATTTAGGTTTTTTTTTTTAAAAAAATAATAATTAATTGTTGGGTGATTCTTAGGTGGGTTTTGGGCACACAGTCTATGTTGATGCGGGAGCAAGTTGTGCAACTACTTCCTCCCTCAAATCACATGTTTAAGGGTCTATTTTTGTTTTGAGATTTTGGGAATCACATGAGAATTACTAGATGATTAATTTTTAAAAGAAAATAAGTAAATTTTTGGTTTTTTAATACTTAAATATAACTCTTAGAAATTAGACGGTCTTTATTTAATCTCAATGCATTATTATTTTTAGTACATAAAGAGTTTATTTCATAAATTATTCTTACTAAGAGTATTCTATATTGTAAAGTTTACATTACCAAAACTTGATATCTAAAGAGATATCATGTGTTTTGCCCAAGGGAGTGAGTAAATAGTATACTATTGTGGGAGTAGGAAAATTTTTCATCTTTATAACATTTTTCAATTAATTGGGGTCGGTTACATGAATCTTGGCCCGCCACTCTGCTATGTTAAGGGTTATATCTTCAATGAGGTTATAAGTCCCCATATTTTCTCACTACTTACAATAATGTCTTTTTGGGCCTACCTTTGCCCTTTTCTAGTCTTCCATTTGAACTAACTCATACATTCTAACATGTGTTATGTTGGGTCTACATTGCACATGGCCAACCCACCTAAGTCTACTTTCTCTCATCTTATCTTCTATTGGTGCCACGCATAAATTCTCATGAATGTATTAATTTTGAATTCTATCCTTTATTGTTTTGTCACTCATCTATCTCTATATCATCATCTTAACTACACTCATTTTATGGGAATGGTTTATTAACCGCTCAACATTTCACCCCATAAAGCAAAGTTTGTCTCACAATTGTCCTACATAAATTGGCTCTTCAGCTTCCTTAGTATACATCGATCAAATAAAACTCAAGTTGTACATCTCTACTTTGTCCACCCTACTTTAATTTTATGTTAGACATATTCATTAATCTCTCTATTTTCTTGGATTATTGACCCAAGATATCGAAAATATAATCTTTTTTTGTATTTATTAGCGGTCAATCTTAACTACTTCATTGTCTCTATTTCTATTATTGCCAAACTTGCATTCTTTGTGTTCTATCTTTGTCCAACTAATTTTAAAACCTTTAGATTTTAGAGCATCTCTCAAAATTTTTAACTTTGTATTGACATTGTTTCGCATCTCATTGATCAAATTATGTCGTATGTGAAAACCATATACCATGATATCTCATATTGGAGGTGTCTAGTTAAGTTGTCCATAATTAAGACAAAGAGGTCTTGGCTCAATGTTGACTCTTGATATGGACCTATTGTCATTGAAAACTCACTTTTCTCTCTACTAGTTGTTCGTATACTAGTTAGTGCTCTCTACATATCTCTCACAAAATTGAAATAGTATCTGGAGACTCCTTTATTTTCCAACATCCACAAAATCAAATATCGAGATACTCTATTATAAACTTTCTCTATATCAATAAAGACTATGTGGGTGCCTTTTTTTTTCGCCTTAAACTTCTCAATCAGTTGCTTCAATGGAAACTAACCTCAGTTATTAACCTCTATTGGTTTTCTAATACACACGTTTCATGCCTTAGTCATTGCTCAATCACTATCTTCCACAACTTCATAGTGTGGCTTATAGGTTTAATCTATCGATAGTTCTTACAATTCTACATGTCTCTTTGCTTCTATAAATTGGTACCACAATACATTTTTTCCATTTATATGATATTTTATTTATTCTCAACACCTTGTTGAACAACTTGATCAACCAATCAATGCGAATCTCTCCTATGTACTTCCAAACCTCTAATAGGATACCATCTCGTCTTAAAGTTTTTCTTATCTTCATATTCTTGAAAGCTTATTTAACTTATAATATCCTAATAATGTGAATGTATCTATGATCCCGGCCATCATTTATGCCAAGGGTTCCTTCTACCATTATGTCCCTATTGTGTGCGTCATTTTACAAAATTTGAAAATAAACTCTCCATCTTTTATTGACCTCTTTATTTTTCACTATGACCTTTTGATCATTACTCTTAATACATTTAATATCGTCATATCTCTACATTTTTTCTCTCTCATTTTTGCTAAGTTGACAATATCTTTTTCGACGATATCTTTTTTGCTTTTTTTTGTTATTAATTTAATGTATAAATTCTCATATGCTTTAAGTTTAGCTTTATATATATATATATATATATATATATATATATATATATACTACACTTTAGAGTAGGAAATTTGTAGTTTCCAAAAATTTAAATGGAAATGTTAAAATCGATGGAGTAAATATAGTCTATACTCATGCGCGAGCATAGTATGGTTCACCGTGAGTAAATCCCAAATCCCCAAACCCAAAAGAGCGCCTCATCTCGGCGCTCAACCCTAAAACCCTAAAATCGCCAAAAGATACGAACTCTGCCAAAACCCCGAAACAGAGAGAGCACACAGCAATGGCGAGTCTTTTGTTGAATCCACTGAAACTGGACTGAATTTTTTATTTTGAGACTTCGATTTTTTGTTTCTTTTTTGGTGATTTTTCTCCGCCATAGCTAGCGAGGAACAATGCGGCCTCCAAGAGGTGGCGGTGGGTTTCGTGGGAGAGATGGCGGTGGGTTTCGGGGGAGAGATGGCGGTCGTTTTGGAGGAAGAGGAGGCGGCCGTTTTGGTGGAAGAGGTGGTGGTGGTTTCAGGGATGAAGGTCCCCCTGCTGAAGTTGTTGGTTAGTTCTCTCTCTATTACTCTGCAGTAACTCCCTCTCTTTCTCTCTTTAACTCTTGCTCTATTGTAATTTCTCTAACTCAGGTGTGTATACAGATGGATCAGATTTTAGTTTTGATATGATGTTACTTTAAAAGATCTACTCTCTCTATCTCTCTCTATCTCTCTCTCTCTCTCTCTCTCAAAAGCACACAAACAAGATTGCTCTTTCAAATTGCTGGTACTTTGTACGCTAACATTTTGTTTCTGATATGTATTTGTTAGCTTGAACCTCTTCTTTATTCATCACTCCTTCATTTCCATTGATGCGCTAGTTTTGTTTCCATTTTATTAGCAACGGGCTTTTGTAACCTTGGTGTTTATGGATTGTAACATCTGTTTTTGCACACATATCCTCTCCCACTCTCATTCGCTCTGGTTTTCTATGTTTTCTGGATTTCCAGAGGTTTCGTCTTTTCTTCATGCATGCGAAGGAGATGCAGTGACAAAGCTCACAAATGAGAAAATACCGTATTTCAATGCCCCAATTTATCTGCAAAACAAAACCCAAATTGGAAAAGTCGATGAGATATTTGGTCCCATTAATGAAGCTGTAAGTTTTTTATCCGGATCATTGTTTTGATTTTCTTTTTTTGATTTTGTTCGAGTATTTCTCTCATGGATTCTTAAGCAAATAGGGTGGAGTTGCATCACTGATGTTATTACCACCTCTGCAGTATTTTTCTATTAAGATGAGTGAGGGTATTATTGCTACATCTTATGCATCGGGTGATAAGTTTTACATTGATCCTGCGAAGCTGCTGCCTCTGCAACGATTTCTTCCACAACCAAAGTATGTGTTTTCCTTTTCATGTCCTCGATTTCCTGTTTGCAGGGTATTGTCTTTAGGGATTTATTTTTATTTATGTTTTAACTGTTGTTGTTGATAGTTACTTTGAGGATTTTCTTATGTCATAGACCGATATTTTTCTAGATTATTGATATGAGTGAACTGCAATAACCTGCATTTTCTTGTAGTCAGACTCACATGCAAACCCTCAAAATGTGGTAGCTGATGTTTACATGAATGCATATGTATCCTCAACCCAATTATCTGAATCCTCAGTGAAGCTTATTAGTGTATCTGGAAGCTATGATGGTTTTTGAAAGTGGAAGTTGATTAATATGGTGAAAGGATCAAATTTCAATGAGCTGAAAGTCCTATTTTGAGTTCAATAAAATGGTAGATAATTTATAAAATGCCATATTGGCATAAATAATTTATAATGCCTTAATTGAAGGCATACAATGGTCATAATGGTCTAAGAAGGGTGACGACCTTAAACTTTCCCTTAACCTGTCCCAAGCTTGGGTAAAGGAGGTCGGTTGTCTTAGGTAGGCAGTCAACGTAAAACTCTATTAAAACGTTCTAAAAATCTGGTATTTATGTTATCTACTTATGTTAGTCTTGTATGGTTTTCAATTTTTCACTAGATGGGTACAAAAGTTAATTCATCTCACTGTATTAAAGGCAATATTTTCATTAGAAGAAGGTATGAAAGTGAAAAAGATATGAGCAAATTATGGTAGATCACATTGCAGTTACTTTAAGGAACTCAGTCTCTGTGAGAGACTAACCTTTAATGAGATCCATCTTACTCTTGTGTGGAGCGAGAGATTCATCCATGAAATATGTTGAAAGTATGTCATCTCAAGGATAGAGGAGGCGAGATACTCAGCGCTACACTTGCTAAGTATCCTTTCAATAATATAGTACTTCCCCCTCAAATATCAGTATACTGGTGCTTTCTTACCTTCTCTCTTAATCTTCCTCAACCTATCGGTTGAGAGCTAAAGTAGTACCGTTCAGTTAGGCTAAACAAAAAATTGCTCCTTGCGGGGGCTGCTACAACTTGCTTGGCAAGCCACTGGCTTCACAACAGCAGACTCTTAAATGAGGGACCACACTTGGCTTGCCTAAACAGGCAGCCTGATGGTGCGTGCAAAGAAGCAAGTAAGGCTCTGTGTTCATCATATCATATCCAAAATGCTTCCTGATCCGGGAGGGACATCAACTCTTGTCCAAAAGAGTTTTCAGTGGATCAAGGCAAGGTAATAATCCGTAGGCTACGCCTTGCCTAGCCTAAGGTGGAAGGTACGTGCAGGTTAGGCCATTTACACTGCAGGAAGCCAGCCCACGCTGGTACTGCACTTTTAGCATGGGTGCTAAAGGCAAGCTCCTTACTATTCCTTTCCTTGCCTAGTTAGTTGCTTTCCTTGCTAAAGCAAATTAGTTTACTATAAAGAAAGCTAACACTACTTCAATTCCATGCAAGCGAAGCTTATCTATCATGTCAAGGACTGCAGGAAACCTGGTAATGGAAAAAGATGTCTTAAGGTCCTATACCCTGAGAGAAGATCCTATACCCTGAGAGAAGATGAAAATAAGGTGGCAAGGGGCTGTGCAGCTTGGCCCAGCCCAGTCATCATGGGCCTAAAGAATTAGGGCTGGGGCTAGGGCTGCGACAAGGCTGGCCCGGTTTGGCCTAGCCCGGCCCTCTGTTTCTTTAAGTTTTATGTTATTTTATGTTTAAATTTTATCTAGCTCTGCCCGGTCCACCCTATATAGGGCTAGAGCCAGGCTGGCCCACCCCGAATAGGTCTAAGGCCAGGCCTTGGCCAGGGCTGGGCCCCACCCATTGACAGTCTTAGATGAAATGTAAGGCGAGGTGGTCAACAACAGTGAGGTGGTTTCAAATCTATAGATGGAAAGTAGCACCTAGAATATGGGTGATTTTATGAGAATTTAGTTCGGCGGAAATGATAGTGAACCAACTGGGTGCATTGGATAGCTTCTTATATCTACTGAGTAGAGGTAGTCTGCTCTTTAAAAGCTATTTTATTTGTAGATTTGACAAATGATAAAGTTTTTAAACTTGCTCATGCCAATGTTGCTAACTGATGATATGACTCCATCCCGATGATTCACAGGGTGCCTATTGAATTCAAAAGAAGATGTGTCTCAATCCATTACGTGACTGACTAATTTGTTTTTTGATCTGTGAAAAAATATCTCATGTTGAGAATACCTTTCTCCCTCATTGAGGATTTGATGCTAGAAATGAGAGACGATACAAATTCGTGATTTGCTAATTTTTTTATTTGTATGGTGGAGCAATATTTTTATTAAGTACAGGTTTCTTCTGATTATCAGCTTATGACTCCTAAGAAATCTGTAGTTGAGTATTTCTTTGTCTTATTTTCAGATTTTTCTTAGCAACCAGTATTTCTTTTTCTTTGAGTATATATGGCCAATGTGCATAGGACATTGTCCAGTTGTAATATTTTGCTACTCTCCAAGAAAACGACTTGAGCAATAAAAAATTCATGATCACAGAATAAATAGAGCATTTTGTGGTTTTGGATCAATTGGGAGCCCCAAGCTTTGAAGACACCAAATTCTCTGTTTTGCTAAAAATTAGAAAGACACTAATTCTGTCCCCAGTTTAAAAAGTCATGTTTGAGCTCATAGTTTGTAATAAAAATAAAGGAGAAAATGGAAGGGAGAGAAAATTGTTATTGATTTCATTTTTGGCTTCTATTACACCGATTATGGCATTTATTTTTTTAAATAGGCATCCATTCATGCTCTAGTTTGGCATTTATTTATTTTTAGACCTTTTACACTGTTTGCAAAAAAACAATGTTTTCTTGATTATAATTTGGTAAGTAGAAGAGAGAATAATGATTGGTGTTATATTTTATCGGTTTGCAGGGGCCAGGCTGCAGGCAGAGGGGGCGGACGTGGGGGCAGAGGTGGTGGACGCAGTGGTGGACGTGGTGGTGGTTTCCGTGGGAGAGTCGGTCCAAGGGGTGGAGGCAGAGGTGGCCCTAGAGGCAGCGGTCGGGGTGGAGGGTTTAGGGGCAGGGGGAGATTCTAAGATTTTACATTTAACTAATCTCTCTAATTTCTATGCACCTGTGATTGTAGAGAGGGAGAGAAGAGAATCTGTTCTTTTCTCTCTAAATGTGGTTTCTTTTTTTTATCTTACGGCCAAGAGGCTGAACCCTAATGAACTTTTGTTTACAATGCGAGTTCAAGTTATTTTGTTTCCTGCCTTCGTACTTGAAAACGAGTTTTGGGATTTGATCAGAGCGGTTCACTAAGTTGTCTGGAAGATGACATGCGTGCTATTTAGGGTGCTCTAGTATTTTTATTGTTGAGTAGGTTAATTTCAAAATACCGGTAAAACAGGTTTTTAAAATAGACCGCATTTGCTATCCTGTTTTGGGAGGATATTGCGCTCCTCCTTTGCTCTAAACACCTACTTGGGAGAATTTTCTTTGTCTGGACCTTTTTTGGGAAAGTCATATATTTAGTAGATAACTAGTTTTAAAAGAAAATTTTGACTCTTAAATTTTGTGACGCTTTAAAAAAAGCAAGTTGCCCTTCAAACGATCTCTATTCAATCTTGAGGCATAATGATTATTCTATGGGGTGCAAAGATTACATCCCTAAAATTTGAGATCCAAAAAGTGTTTCTAATGTGGTTTTAATGTTGGAATTATATGAAAACTTTAAAATCTTGAGAATTGACCTTTAAAAAATGCGGTACAAGATATATTATTTCTAAAACTTGAAATCTATTTTTTTCTTATGTCTATGCATTTTAATGTTGAGATGATCAATTTGAGGATATTTGGACATCAAAACAATTTTTTTTCGTGAACTTTTTTAGTGAAATTTTTAAAGTGGGCTCTAATTTGATTGTTTAGAGCCTCGGCTCTATATTGACTTTTCCTTTGGGTTGGAGTTTTTACAAAAAGGCCTTAATAAGGCGTTATCTATACATCAGATTAAGTTTATATTTAATATATCCATATTTCTCACTATTATCTACCTATCTAAAATGTTTTAAAAATAAATCAAAATAAATAAAATTATTAAAATACATAGAAAAATACATTTAATGCTCTAAAAGAAAATGGAACTTGAGTGTAATGTATGAAGTATATTATCCTATGTTTTAATTTTGAAAAAAGAGGGGTTTTTTTTTTTTGTAAATTTTTCCCGCGCCTTCATCTGCTGCTCTGTCCGGGAGCGAATCATGCGTCTTTTAACACTGCAAAGTTGGGCCTAATTGCAACTCGGTTGTTCACAAACAGTGTTTTGTAAGAATACGTGGAATTGCAAGCTGATGCCCCTTTGAGCTCCCGAAGCGATAGCTTCATATTTCTCCTGCACTTGGTCCTTGTTTGATTGTTTGAAGAGGCTGTTGCCAAAGCTGCCCCTTCTGATAATTTTGAAAGCTGTGGCTTCTATGGGGCTGCAAAGAGATTGCAGTATTCAAATCGGTAGTTTTTGGAAGCAGCGGCTTCTAGTAATCAAGCACATCCTCAAGATTGTTTCTTTTCAGGTCTCGAATTGTTTTACCAAATTATTCAAGGGCTCAAAAGACCTCTCATTGTTTCTTTTTTCTTTTTTTTGCTGTGGATTCATTTCATAATTATCTCCTAAAACAAATTTATTAATAACTTCAAAAGTACTCTTATTCAAGGTTGGGAAATTCACAGTTGGAACTTGGAACATGAAAACACGAGGAGCATTTAGATAGTTTAGATCCACTGAAATGGCTGAAGCCAGATTACAATAATAGTCCTAGTTCAGGCTTGACATCTTTCATTTCAACCCGAAACATGACTGGGTGTCCTAAAATTTCCACAGTTCAGCCGGGTATAAAGGAAATGTCGATCATCATTGTTGTAAAAACCGAGTTCCTATGATATAATTTTTTGAAGAAATAAATATGAAAGAACGAAGGTCACTTTTGGGGGGAGGGGGGCTCAAATGTAATCCCTATTATCCTACAATTTTATAGATTTAATTGCATTCATTCTTCACCATGATCGATCATTAATGGTCATCAACCACAATACAAGAGATAAAAAAAAGTAAGGAAATCTTCATTGCAAATAAATATAAGAGCACAGAGCAAGTTCGAGCCCAAAAATTGGGATAATATTCAGTCCTCAATTCCCTAAAAATTTTTGAAGCGCGAAATATCGATGGGTAATCCCATTGTTAAAAAAAAGCATACCTCCACACCAGATCTATTTTGAAAGCCATGAATTTTCTACTCTTTCATTGTTTTATTTATTTTTGGGTTATTTTTCCCCTTCTCTCTCAGGCTTCCCAGCCTCTGAGCACCGTTGCTCGGGCAACACGATTAACCCCGAGAGTGAAGGCACCCATCCGGAGGTCACAATTGTGGGTCTTACACATTTCTTTTATACTCTGAAACCCTTTGATCATGTAGTTTTTCAGTTCACAGTTAACCTTCTGCTCATCCCACATAAACCCCTGTATATTCTGCAACCACGAGAAAATCTAAACTAAACATGGAGCACAAAAAAAGTAAAACATTGATAGACAGACCATTTTTCCTTTTAATCTTATCTTCAGTCAGGTGAAAAATTCAAATTATTAGAAAAAATTTATTTTTAAGAATGTGAAGCGTGGGTTTTACCTGAACCCACTCGAAGTAACTCACGGTGACTCCTCCGGAGTTAGCATATATGTCCGGCAGGATGACGACACCCTTCTTCGCTAATATCTAAAGGGAAGAAATGAAGAAATAAAATTTCACTAATTTTGTTAGTTTCTTTCATGTTTTCATGGTGATACCTAAGTGGATGGTAATCCAATGCCGAATGGATTTACCTCATCAGCCTCTGGATCAGTTGGGTGATTGGCCGCTTCTATAATGAAATTGGCCTTAATTTCACCAGCATTTTCCCTGAAAAATAAACAAATAAGTAGATATTAATTGCTTTGTTTGCATAAGAAGTTCTGTGGCTACTGTAACAGAAGAGTACCAAAAAACATTTCAGTCCTGACAAAGCTTGAGACTTTTAAAGGAAAATCACTATATCTGACTGATTTGGCAGAAGTGGATATATCTTAGAAATCCCAAACTTTGGATTAAACAACAAATAATAGATCAAACAAATCAAAGAGAATTTTTGGAATTAAGATCCACATCACTAATACTGATTCGGTAGAGGTGGATATCTTATACATCCCTAAATTGGGTTAAACAACAGAATAATAGATCTAATAAATCAAAGAGAAGTTTTGAAATTCAGATCCATAGCACATTTAATTTAATTGATACCTATCCTAATCAGTGAAGACTTAACATTCATAAAAACGAAAATAAGAACTCCAACAAAAGGATTACAAAAATCCAGATTTTCAAACTTTTGCTAGAGACAAAAGGAATAAAACCTGTTTATGACTCCTCCAAGTGCGGCAGGGATGAGCACATCACAATCTTCCAACAGTAGCGCCTTTGGATCAAGTGGTTCTGCCCCATCAAACCCTTTAATCCCTTTATTTTCAACTGCATGTTTTAGGAGCCTGGGAACATCAAGGCCATTGCGGTTCTTTATAGCTCCTGATATATCACTCACTGCCACAACCTTCCCACCAATTTCATGGATGAATTGTGCAGCCCAAGAACCCACATTTCCAAATCCCTGAGAATCAGAGACCCCCAAAACCTAAAATTAACTTCCACTAATTCATTTTTCCTATAGTTATACAATCATTGCATAGATATATAAATAGACAGTATAGATCATTCTAAGATAGATGTAACCATATCGACAAATCCAGTTAGGAGAATTTCTTAGCAAAGTGTGCTTTCATTTTACCCCGGAATGGTTTTTAAGGAAATAGAGAGGAATTTTAAAAAATTCAAATGAAAACAATCACAATCTATGATAGATATAGAGGTGGTGGTCTACTTGTATCACAAATTTTTGGTCCGAGATCTTCTTCCCATACTCTGCAAGCAGAGCTTCTGTTGCAAAGAGGGCCCCCCTTCCAGTAGCTGCATCTCTGCCAAGCGAACCTCCTAGGTCCTATTTAAGTAAGGAGTTTGTCATAAGGAATAGAAAGATTATGAATCCGAGCATGAGATGAAACCCATGCATGTCCTATGCAAATTGATGAATATCCATGGAACTTAGAATTTACTTACCACTGGTTTTCCTGTTACAACTGCAGGTGAATATCCATGGAACTTAGAATATTCATCCAGAATCCAGGCCATTGTCTGTTTCACGATGGAACAGATATTAGTTTACCCTATGTTTAAGACAATGATTTTCAGAGCTCTCGAACGAATGCCTCTCTCTCTCTCTC